GGACCTTCTGTTTGTGACAAAATTACAGAGTTAATGTTCCTGAAAGATCACTTCACCTTTTAAAGCATGATTTTTAAAAAGGTAAAATTTATAGCAATTAAAGCTAATGAAGAAATGCAGCATGAGCTGCTTATGTTCAGGAACTAATAGGTCCACTGAGCATTTCTAAGATTATTTAGCCATCAATGATAATGAATTGACATTGTCAGTGGTGTTAATGTACCAATGCTCTGTAGTGCCACTAATCYGATAGCCAATCCCAGCATTTTTTTTTTACGTTGCTACTTTTATTTTTTAACCTGCCCACTACCCTATCGTTTCAATTAAAACAGCAGAAATACAGCACAGGCTATTAGACTTTTTTTCTCTCTCTCTTTTTCCACATTTAAGGATGGCATATTCATTATTTGGACTCCAGTTCAAACTGTGCTGGTTATTCCTTTTTCTTCAGATTCAGTTCAAGTCTTCGGGACTGTTAGCTACAGCATAAAAATGTCTTTTCCAGTTAAATCAGTGCTAAGACATAATTCTTCAAATGCTTCAATATTTGGTGCATATTAAGAGAAATAGAGAGATTACTTAAACTTCAAAAGGACTAAACTTTACTGTATGTAAACCAGAGTAGAAGGTACTGTCTTTAGCTGATTGTTTTATCACATCTGAAGAGCACAGCTTCATTTGGCAATACAGTATTGCATGAAAATAGAAGGTGCATACCTGCGACCAGCAAAGCCTCAGCAACACTCCATGTAATCAGCTCAGCTAAGCCACTAACACCAAGTTCGCAGCTCCAATTGTACACATGTGTTTTGCTCCCTATTGTAGTACAGTCATACTACAACCCAGTCRTGTTTTCTGAGACAGATTCTAAGAAAATGTCAATTCTTAAGTGAAGGAATGAGGTTTTGAAAAAATGAGAAAATGTGCCAAAACCTAATCATGTTAATTCTCTTTTTATAAGATACCATGTTAACTATATTTTACTCTTTCTCTTACGATTACAGAATTAAATGACTTTTCTTTCTGTTTAAATTAAAAGGAAACTGAATAAAGAACCATTGTCAAGTTTGTTGACAGCTTCTAAAGAAAACAGCCTAGCCTTCACTAAACAGTTTTGTGGATCTGCAGTTGTTAACTGTCTCCCACACTAAACCCTCTGCAGTAGGTCAGACACAGTAAAGAATAAGATAAAAAAAAAAAAAAGGCTACTATACATAATGTTCATTTTAGACTTGAATTATGCTATAAAACAAAGAGTAGCAGAAGTCATTCTACTACTGATCTTCCATGGGCTTAAGAATTAGATTCATATATTTTTAATTTGTTTTTCAAGCAGTCAGCAATTAATTTTCTTAAGTGAGTAAAAGCATCCAAAGTATCTCATGAGGCTGCATGCAAAATTATTTGGAAAACAGAGAGATGAATCAGTGAAAACCACTCGACTGCGTCTCCCAGCTGAAGATTCCCTTGTCCTTTAAAATGTGTAACCCACTTTGTCCTCCGGTGGATCAGGATAGCACGTGTATGCTTAAAAACCCTCCTGCTGAATAATATCCCCAACATCACACCACACCATTCATGTGTGCACTGCATTATCTAATTGAACTTGTGCTGTTCTATGCATTAGCTATAAGACTGTTACAGCAGGTTACATAGGTTTGAGTGGAGTCTTTTTATATGATGCATATATTAGTTAATTTCTCTAGCATAATAACATTAAAATATATTTTTAATCAGAACTAGGGTATTAAAATCCAACTTTGAATGTCCTATGATGTACCATATATGCCATGGCATTTTAAAACCTTTTAAACATTTCTGCTAAATTAATTAGTTTTGCATTAAGGAGTCTCAATGCTTCCTATTAAACGCAACACATTTGAAGGACAATTAAACATTATGAATGATCCTTCTGAGGAAATAACTATTAAGTAAAAAAGAAAAACAAGATTTTTTTGGTTTTGGTAACAAACAGGAACACAAACGTACGTAAAAGGCTTCAATTTATTTTTGAAGTCATAAGCCTGCAATATTTTAGATCCATTTGTTTGAAAATCAGTCTGCTGTTGTGTTTTTGTAACAAATGAAAACCCTAATGGAGTCCAGAAATCTGTTAATGGTACTAAAATTATAACAGTATAGCAAAAGAAAAAAAAACCCACACAGTAAAGTCTATATTATATATTTTTTATGGCTTTAAATGGAATTTACAGTTCTCCCTGGCAATGTGAATGAACATCCTATAATTTAGTCAATTTACAGATTACAGGTTCAAATTGACCTTGTAGCCCATAAAATTGCTCATCTTCAGTGCAGGATTAGAAGTGGGAAAAGAATGTCATAACTGTATTTAAGGAATTTACCATAACAATGGAAAGGAGGATATGCATGCATAATTTTAGCCACTCTTGCTCACATCACAGTTTTCAATTCTGAAACAATGCATATCCTGAACTCTTCTTCTGGTTAACCATGGTGGAAACTCTTTCAATTTACTCACCCACAGACATGACACTTGTATTCCCTCATCCCAAGGTGCCTCTTGACATGGTTTCTGGCATCTCCGAGCTGAGCTGTTGCAAAGTGGCATATCTTGCACTTGAATGGCTTTGATCCTAAGTAAAATTTAGCATAAGATATGAGTTGAATTAGAATAATATATTACCCACGGTTAAAGAAGTAAGAATTCCTGGGAAAAATATAACCTTTAAAAAAGCCTATCCCCCATTTAACCTGTTTGAGATTTTTACCTAACAAAAAAATAGTCTCTCGTACATAAATTTWTAACTCTGGGGACACAGCCAGCCTATGTACATTGCTCATTAGAGGTTCCTCATGTTCAAGAGCACCCAAGCTACTTGCTTCACTTTTAATAATAATTTACTTTTTAAAAAGAGTATTAAAATGAGAAGACAATATGCTAGGAATATAGCCTCTCAGTGAGATCACAGAAGTTGCAGTATATTTCTTTTTTTTCCTTTCTTCAACCACTGAAATTCAAGTAATAGTCGTAAAGTGGCTTGATGCTAGTGAAAACTGCAAAACACACTTGTTTTTTAAGCAAGTATGTTTAAAGTAAAGTAATTTTACAAGTCTTCTGACTTTGAATAGATTTCACATTAGCATTGGTATTTCAGAATTGTTCTGTCACACACAGAAAATGATTCATCACCTAGCTATTGTAATGACATGCAATGTATGAATATACAGGGGATAAAATATTATGCCTTTATGACTGTTTTATGGTCAAGAATTTATGATTATTCTGCAAACCAGAAGTATTGACATTTTGGCTATTATTTATTTCAAGAACAAACTTTAATATTAAATGTCTAGCGCAGACCAAAGAATTCTAAAATTATTTCTCCAAGGAAGTTTTACCAACCTATTTCTTGCATCACATCAGCTTGGCAAAAGTCAAACAATTTGTCATATTCAACAGTAGCCCTCTACTGAAGATGGCAAAAAATGCATTTTTGCTGTAATAGTTAAATGTGGCACGTGTCAGTACCTAGGTTATTACGCAGCAACGTTATTTTAAAGTATGCTGCTGCACTTTCCAGTTTTCTGACCAGTAAATCCTTAAACCAATAAATCAAAATCATGGAATTGCAGTTAAAAATAAGGACAATATGTTCACAGATTCTCCGTATTATGTTTAGTATATGTTTTGTGAAGCACTTCTTCCAATACAGTTAAGCATAATATGAAATATGTGAACTTTAATAAATATACATAAAGAGCTCTGATAAGAAAAATGTTACAGTATATCATACTTGATCAATGAAGCTTTGTGCGGTGCCCTTGAAAACCGAATATCCTCCAAGAATCCACTGGTGAAATCGAGGATCTTAGTAAAAAAATTTAGAGTCTTAAATTTCAATTTAATTCCCAAAAGCTGACGAAAAATGAAGCATTTAATTTTAATCTTCTAACTGAAATAAAAAAGTCAACAGTACTAAGCACGGGCAGACAAGGTTGAATATTTCACAGTTCAATGACAATGAAGCCAGATCTCTTAATACTTCCATTTCTACTGTTGGAAGTAGATGTAAAATATATTTAGCACCTGAATGGTTATATCTAGTCAGCTTTATATGTTTAAATGTCAAAAGCAGGTTGAGGCAGCAGCTAACAGCAATCACATTCTATCAATCACACTAAAAAAAATCCCAGTTTATTTAAATGATCCTGATAAAACTATATTAATCATTAATTTGGTGACATTTCAAATCAACACTGCATACTACAGAGAGACCCATGCAAATAAAACAGCGCTGATCTTTGCATTAAATAAAGGAGTATTAAAGTCGATGTTTTAACTTGTGATCTTCAAGACCAATTACACAATTAACAATATCAAGGTCAGAGACGATTTATTTTTTTAAAAAAACTATTGTGTTCACACTGCTGTTTTACATCCTGGAATTCAAGCACCGTGTGGATTCATCCCCATGTACTTTTAGTTTCTCTCCTTCTGATTAAATTGTAAATTTGTTCCTCATTCGGCTCCTGCAGGTGTCCCGCAGGGCCTCCACACAAACCTGTCCCGTTTTCCATTCACATGCCCGCTCGGTGGAAAGCCTGTGGCTRAGGCCGGTGGTGGCTGCGGTGTTGCCAATACAGGAACGCGTTAACTCTGCTCACTGCTCTCAGCCGAAAGCCACGGAGGCCTTCACCTCGCTCCCCGGCCCACCTGATACTGGCGGCTGAATATCTGCTAACATCTCCCTTTAAAGCATGACATGGAGATGCAAGGCACGCACTCCCCGCCTGAAACAATCTCCCTTTTAGGCTGCTGATGCCACATGGCTTCCTGTTTGTTCTTGGATGGAACAAACCAAGGGAGACTTTCTATTTCGGGGGAAGGTGCTGCACTGAAGCTTGAGCTAACAGGGCAAAAATCTGCATGTATCAAAAGGTTATCTGAAACGATATTAAAGCAATTTTCCATTTATTAGCCATACTTCTGTTTTCACAAACTTGAGGGGTTTCTCGTAAACTCTGTAAAATGTGATACTATGGGCTTCGTAACTGGCTCTTAGTTAACTACAAAAGAAAATAAAACCACTTTTAATATAGCATTTCAACCAAAACAAAATGAGTTCACCTAAGAGTTGTGGCATGGAAACAGGGTGTATATTTTGTGATGGCAGCAATAATAAAATGGTCCTTAACAATGAAAAAAAAAAAAAAAAWKRAAWT